ACATGCATTTACACTTACATCTGATTTTTAGCCGCTTGTCTCTGAGCTTTCCGTTCTTTTCTTTTTTGATCTGGTGGCTTAGCAAAAACAATTTCAATGTTTTCTCCCTCTAAATCTTTGCCATTCATTTCTTCCATCGCCTGAAGGAATTAACCAGACTTTAAATATACTTCCAAGCATATCTGAAGTTATTAATTTTGTTCTACCTTTTATTTAGAGTATGCATTTTTAAATTTGTTATTCAGAGCTAAAATAACAATATAAAGCTAAAAAAAAAAATTAACAATCCGAGAGCATAGTATTATGGATTCCAATTATGCACTTCTTCTGAACTTGGCTCTCAAACCCAGGACTGCATGTATCAGTTTAGAAATCTTCCCCTCAGAACTGGAAACAGGTTTCAATCTTTGCAAGCTGTTACAATTAATGAAGTGACAGAACTGTCCTCTGAAAGTGCACATTTTGTAATGCATGAATAAATTCCTAATGTCAGCACACATGCGAACAGTACTAAAGTTAGAGCTCAGTATATTCTGCTATTCCTTTATTTTACTTGTAATAAATACCAACTAGAAGGCAAAAATTAAGAGTCATTCTGATCACAAGGAAAAAACAAACAAACCAAACACAAAAAACTGCAATTCCTTCCCAAATCCACACCACCAACCTCCCACAACCTTTTTCCTCAAAAAAAAATGCAAAACAAACAGCAAACCATCAACTCCTCCCCTACCCTCCCTGCCATGTGCAATTCCTATGTGCCACAGTTTTTATCCTAAGTTAATTTTGAGCAGAGGAATCCTAAAGATTCTACCTGTTTTAGGAACTCTACATAGTTATGCCCTGCCAGGATATATGTCTTACTTAGACTCTTCCCATCATCTTCCTAAGCATCTGCTTTAAGACATATGTATACCTAAGAAAAACTGAATCCCCCTGTATCCTGCATCCACCCACAGAACATAAAAAAAATGGATACACTACAGGAAAGAGGGGAATTACACTTTCCCTTCTTTAACAACATATGACATGAAGACTGGGCTAGCAAAATCCAGGAATGACAATTAATAAATTGTCTAGCACCCCTCATTAAAAAAAAAAATAAAAATATTCCTGAAAAAATAAATTAAAACATTACCTAAGTTTTTATCACCTGCCATACGTAAAGAAACTGCTTTAAATTTCTACCAATAATTTGGTGAGAAGAGTCGTTCAATTTCTGACACCTGAGCTTCAAATGGTAACAGCATTATTATCTTAAGAGCTCATATGCAGAATTACTTAGGATAGGTGCATTTAAGATCCACTTTTCAAGCTAGAATTGCATCATCCTACGATACCCAGAGAGGACAAAATTACCTGTGACAATGTGTTACCACTTCGCCAGACAAAGCTTCTTCTCAAGTTAGAAGAAGCATACAGCTTCTAGCAACACTACTTACAACACACACATGCACACAGTTACAGTCCTCTTCACTTACCTTTACAGCACCATCCCGTTCATCAAAATGAATGAAAGCATAGTCTTTTAGCTTCTTCACTCGTTCTAGCTTTCCAAATTGACTGAAGGCTTTTTCTAGAATCTCCTCTGTTACAGTATTGGCAAGATTGCGTACAAACAAAACTTTTACCTAAGGGAATTAAAAAAAAACCAAACAAACACAAAAAACAAACAAAAAACCAAAAAAACAAAACAAAAACAAAGAAAAAAAAAAGGACTTAGGAGTATGATTTCATTTCAAAGCATAAAATGAAGCTTTGCAAGTTACTGCTATTGGCAGTACTGAAAGAACATTGTTACATTTTCTGTATAGCATTTTATATACATATATATGAATATGTACATTTAAATAGAAACACAGCTCCAAAATTCCCTGACAGAAATATTCAATCTGTTATCAAACATGATTATATAAGTATTAGTATCCTGAAAGTCAATTCAATTTATGTTACTGTGATCCTAGCAGCAGTTATCTCCAACCCAGAATACTATGAAACTTGAGAGAAGGCAACCAGAATTGGTTACACACAAATCAATTAAGTTATCAAAACATGTAATTGTTTAGACAGGCTTTTACTCAGTTATTTGCGGAACAGTCATCACTGTAATATCTAGGTCAGAGGTGACAGGCCTGCAGCTTTCAAGCTGCTTAACTTGTGGTTCCAATGCTATAGCTGCACCCAACACCTAATGTCAGGACTGTGATTGCCTGAGGGGCACTCAGTGACCTGAAGCCACTTCTGAAAGACAGAACTGCAGACAGAGGGGATACTCTAAGGCTAACACTGGCCAGTCACCTTTCAACTTTCTCAAAAGTCAAACTGCGCTGTTCCCTTGAGGAAGTCACCCCCAAATAATTCCAGAAGTTTACTCCCTCCCCCAGCTCACTAAAAGCATGCAACACAACTCTTAAGCTACACAAAGACTGTTCCGCAGCTTCTAAAATCAGAAAAGCAGGTAATCCAACTGCTGACTGCCTGACATGGACTAAATCATCAATATAAAACTTCATCAATAACCAACTGCATAGGATAAAGGAAAATCTAGAGCAGTCTGACAAAGGCTTAAACTAAACCCTCACTTAACATAGCAGACAACATACAGTGGAAACCAGGAATCACCTATTAGTGACCCGACAGTATTGAAAGATTCATCCTTGTGTCCATGCCAAGGCTGCACACAGTGACTGGACATGAGCGTGTTTACACGGTGTCATCTATGTGTCCTCACAATTTACAATACTCTTCATCTTCTTGAGAAGAGTTCCTTCCACATGCTGGCACCATGCTCTGACAGTTTAACCACCTCCTACTGCCAAGGAATGCTGAGTCTTACCTGCCTACAGTGCAGCTGCCAATCAGCTGCAAGACCTGCAACTTCTGCTTACATTCCCACTGCTCCTACTGGTTTCAAATTAGCTGATGACATCAAACAAACACTGCGCATGGCAGCACTGACTCCTGACCCTGAAGGTCAACACCAATAACACAAGGTGTGAAAGGACCAAGGAAAGCATGCTTCAACTTCTGAAGCAGAGCTGTACTCTACTCCCACCACATACAGGAATTCAATAAACCCAGACACCATTTTTGGAAGAACTGCTATGTAATTAAGTTATAAAAAAAACCCCAGGACAGACTTCCATAAATTTGTCTCATTCACTAGCTGAACTAGGATAGGATGCAGAATTTGGAAGACGGGATACTTACAGACCATAAATCTAACCCAGTGTATCAATTCTAGGCTTTGTCAATAGTTACTCCTGCTGATTCTCAGGATATCATAGAAGTCATAGCCAACTCCATGAGAAACGCTGTTTCCTATTATGTATTAAGCTTCTCCTACATGCCTTGATGGTAAGAGCAACCTTTATTTATTGTAATCCATACATAATAACCATTTTTAGTAAAACATCCTAACTGCTACCTTAACCTTATTCCATGGAAATTAATTACATTAAGTTCTGTGATTTACTCAATGACTTTGAAAACCACTAACTTTTAAACAAATGCTCTATATGCTATAGAAAAGGATGAAAACTAGAACGTCACAAGGAACCCTAAGTACCCTAATAAATCCATGATGACTGACATGATGATTAAAAACTACAAAGAATAATCACTGTTTTTAAAAAGATGCTAATCTAATATTATAACATATTATAAAAACATAATGTAATATTATGGTTTTTAAAGAAATACAAAGTAACTAATTTAAATCTTCCCAGTGTAGACAAATCTGCTAATCTCTAACAGCTAAAAATTTTTAACACCTTTGTTCATATTACGGATTAGAAGTGTAACCAAATGAGTCAAAGATGATGTAAAAGCTATTAGGCAGGTCAAAGCATGAGAGAAGATGAACCCATTTTTACTTCACTGAAGCCAGCTAAAAAGGGAGAGAAGGGAAAAAAAAAAGAAATCCTCTTCATTAAAGCTCACACATTACACCAAGAATCCACAAATACTCCTAACAAGCAATATACCCAACACCAGCATTTTGCTTTAAAGGCAGAACTCACATTTAAAAATCTGTTTAAGATCAGACTATCCCAAAACTTCTGGTATCTGCTCTTTTTCCTCCTCTTACCTACAGCACAAACACTTCAGGCCACATTCTCCAAGGGTTACTAGCCCTGTCTCTTGTCCTGTAATCTGCCAGACAGCCACAAGCATAAGACTTTATTTAGCTGCTTAACCTGCCACTCCAGAACGTCCTCTGCAGCCTCAGCCATCCTACAGAAATCAAGTAAAACATTAATAGATTTAGCTAGACTACAGGTGTAAGAGGCAACAAAATGACACTTAAAAGAAATTAAAACTACCAACACAGCTGCTTGTGAAGCTGGAAAAAAGTTCATTTGGACTAGAAGTTAATACCTTAACCAGTTATACTCTGATCTGTTAGCACAAGCACTAATCTCCTGTAGCACATCCATCTAGAGCTCAAGAATCTAGCTTCATCCCTCATTGTGCTCAAGTTACTTTGTATTTAAGGTAACCATCCACTTAAATGATTAATATTTACCCATACAGTACACTCCACAACATTTTATCAGAAGGACAAAGGAAAAAAGACTCAAGTAGACATTTTAGAAATTTAAATTAGTAGGTGTCCATATATTGATGAAATGACATGCCTCTTCTGAAAGATTTAAAATACTGTTCACCTTCTGGCTACATATGTGAATTTGTCTTCCTTACAGCTTGCTCTTATGGGCTTGCTCTTCTAGCAGTCTTGACAAGAAAACTGATGACCACATGATTATTTTGATGAAAACAACCTACTTCTCCTAGTCACAGTTTCCTCCACCGCCTTCTACCATAGCAATGTGCAAGATGACACTGGTCGATAGCTTTCCCTTTGCTCTGGACTGACAGCAGTCAGAAGCAATGACAGCCAACCTGCAGCTCACATCCAGATTACTGACTGCAGCAGCAGCTCTGCTGCTCTCTCTTATGAGATAGCAAGAAAAGAAAGTAAACTTCATACTTAGAGAAGGGCCAGATACAGTCAGCCTCTGCAAAGGTACAGCAGGTGGCCAAGAAAAACTGGAGACTTCCCTTGTTGCAAGAACAAACTAAGGGACACAATCAAGCGAGGAAGGTCAGACACCAATGATTGTCTCAGCTTGTGTCTTCGGACACAAGCCACTTTTTCAGTATTCTTATACGCAGAGCCTCATTTTTCCATACATCTTCAACCCAAGCTCCATGTCCCATCTTTGGCATTGGCACTAGATGTATCCAAGTTGATTTTCTCTGTGTTTTCTACACTTCTTTCCGTCATCTCCATGTTTCTTCTCTTTCCATGTCCCATTTCAAATACAAAATAATAAATGCTATTAACACATTCAAAAAAACTGTATAGTAAATGGAGCAAACCAAAATCAAGCTTTAATTTCTTTAGTCTTTCATTCTGTACATCTGTAAACCTAGGAGAGATGTCCCCTTGATTACGTCCCCTATCATGTCCTTTCCATCTATTTTGTTCTATCAGCAGAAATTCCTGCTTATTTTGACAGTTCGGTGGATTAGGTCTCTTCTCTTTTGAGCCAAGAAACTAAACATACAGGCTGCCACTTTCCACAAATTTGACCTGCAAGACTCTTTTCCTGCTGTTGACAGTCTATCATGCTGGGCAAGAAAAATAAAGTCTGCAGACAAAATAGTCCAAAAGCTTCTGTAATACCTGTATTACAAAAGCATCTTTTTCCCTAAAATGAGCCCCCACCCCAACCCTTTTCCCTTATGGCTCACCAAAGAGGAGATCCCAGCCAAGCTATCTTACTAGGTCCATCAAAGTAGGACTCCAGCAAGTGACGTGTCTCAGATGAGAGTAAAAGCACAGACGAAAAGCAAGCAAAGAGAAAGAGATAAGGATATGGGCTAGCTAGGAGTTTCCATTAAACAACTCAGCTATACAACACAACTGAAAAAGACAGAGTTGGGCAATATCTGATGGGGAAAAAAAAAATTAGGTAGTTTGTTTCTGGCAAGATACCACGCACATATATAAAACAACTGCTACAATGTACTTCAAAATGTTAACAGTCCAGACTTCAGCTTCAGCTCAATATTCAAAGTCCAAAATATTGCCAGTCTAGGTATAAAAAGGTATTAACTCCCCCAAATAAAAAATAACTGCCGAGTTCCAAATACAAGCTAATTGTCTAACTTTTCAGAAGCAACTGCTAATGGCAACTTTTGTTAATGGCAAAATACATTTGTGTACATTTGAACAGACATGTTCCATTGCTGAAGTGATACAATTCCAGGTTTAAAAAGAATTAAGGCTTGTTCTGAGATGATATCTCTATTTCTGTCCTTCTAAATACTAGAGGACAAAACCATTTTAACTCTAGGAGTCACCACCATCACTTTGAGGTAAAAAAATTAACTACATCATCCTGTGTGTCATTTTGGAAAGAATTACATTCACTATGCAGCCTTGAGAACACAAAATAATGTAAGGCCATATAGTGTTTAAATCCACGTAATTTCTGAGGTATATTCATTTTTTATCACCATATCTACAACATCTCTGTCAAGAAGGCCAAAAGATGTTATTTAATTTTCGGCTAATGCCAGGAAGTACCTAATTTGGAACAGAGCACTTTAAATGTACTATGGTCCCCTTACAGCTTTATTACCTTTGCCATGACTTCAGGATCTGGGTCTTCTATAGGGTCAGCCCATTCCACTGTGACAACATTTCCCCAGACTTTCACTTTGCCACTCATTAACCTACGTCTGGCCTGAGCAGCAGTTTTGTGATCTTCATATTCAAGAAAGCAGAAACCCCGATTCTTTTTCTTGTCATCAGGCTGATGATACAATATGACATCTGTAAGACCCTCTGAAATTAAATAAAACATTTGTTATGGTTTCAATCCATTGATTTGCATTATAAAGTATGGGTAGTCTTTGTAGCTATGGAAGAATACCCTTTCCCTAACTGAATGGAAGAAAGCTAGGGGCAGCCAGGTTCTGCTTTGTCACTTCTCCTCTTAAAGCTCTAAGTTACAGTTATCAGTGTGTGTTTTTTCCATAATGTTGAAACAACAAGAGATAAAAGTTGCATGACTTCAATACCTAAAAAGTTTATTCTCCAAAAAACCTGAAGTCTATAACTCAGTAACAGAGAAAAGTCATCAAACATTGCCTTTTTAAGTTCAAACATTATCAAAGAGAGCCTTAAAATTTAAGAATTATAAAGCAAAGAACCAGTTACATTCTTCAGCTTGCCTCAGTTTTGCCTTGAGAAGTTTCAAAACATTCATTAGTATCGAAATGATTAAACTTTTAATTCAAATTTCTTTGAACAGATTTTTTAAACATTATACACTTGCTCTACAGGTAGAACTTAGAACCAACCACCTAGTAATTACAAATACCTCAGCCCTCAGTAAAACAACAGTTTTTAAAAAACCTAAACAAACCCCAACACATGATGTTGAGATAAATGCTGAGTGGTCTCAGTTTGTTTTCATCATCATTCAACTATAAGCCAAAAGAAAGCTCATCAATTATCACATTTAACACCTTCCAGCTCTACAAAACCTAGTTATTAACTCACCTGTTACTTTGCTGAATTCTTCAACAATTTGCTCCTTGGTTTTACTCTTAGGAATAGAGCCAACAAAAAGCCTATTATTGGCAACAGAAATGCATACACCAATGTGTTTTCCAGAACGAATTTCGTGGTTGTTGTACTGCAAGAAAAAAAGTATCGGACAATCATCAGTTACAAATAATTTTCACTCCCCTTCAACAGCAGCATACCAAATATTCAACTTTGAAAAACACAGAATTGAGCAATGTATTAAATTTTTGCAGCTTAACACATTTTTACAATGCATATTCAACTACTCTGAAGTATATCCATGTTTTCTATGGTATCGCCACTATTTCAGCCAACAATTATTTCTCCCTCCTTGTTCAACTCCCTCAATATTTTTTTCTTTACAGACTTTTTTGTACAAAATCATGCAAGTCATGAAGGTCCAGGCTTCTCCCTTCACAACCATGCAGAACAAAATACAAGTTCTTCTATAGGCTGTAGCTATAAATTCTTGATTTGTGTGTAATACAAGACATGAGTTGCAACTGAAGTGAGCTTCCCTTCTTAAGTTCCACAGTTAACAAAAGAGTAAAAGATCATGATCAGATCTTCTCCACAAAATCTTCAAGGCAAATTGGCAAATACTTTCTGAAGTATAAACATTACACATGTAAAGACAGTCAACAGCAAGAACAACTTTCTAATAACTTGAAATCCCAAGACTTCTGTTAAAATGCTTCATGCATAATGGTTGGAAGATACCATGAACAAGTCAGCAGTTTAAGAGGGAAAAAAAAAAAGTATTACTGTAGACACCTGTTGAGAAAACATCAAAAAATGCCTTTAACTGAGATGCAGACACAGACATGCATTATACAGATAAGAAGCAGGGAGGACAACTGCTGGTGCATCAACCCACTTTTAACTGGAAGCCCTATAACAGACAGTTCTTTAGCTAAGAAAATTAATTTTGTGGTCAAAATCTTATTGCCAAGTAGCAGGAAAGATTTTTAAAATTTCATCTAGCTGTTTATTCTATGATTTGTGTTTGATGGTAAATCTTACTACATAAGGTAGTTATCCTCCACCCCATCATGCTTTTTGTGGAATAAAATCTGGGAGAAGATATTTATTTATACTTATCTTGGGCAAACAAAAGCTCCACCACTGAAACTTTTCTAAGCTAGGTAACAGCACCAAAAATAACCAGAGAACTGTACCGGTGAAAAGGACCTAGAGTGACATCTTCACAATGAATTATGTCTCAAAACATAGCAGGAGACAACAAAAGACGTCTATCTCCGTATCTGTTGCCCATGTGACAGAGGAATAGTCGATTTTAAAGTAGGAAACTGCAGAAGGAGTTGCACTAGCTGCATAGGAAGACTGTATATAGACTATCACCACTAATATACATTAATGAAGAGATAGATTATAGTAGGTAAAAAAAAAGAAGTCTTCTAAAGAGACACCTTTAAAGAAGCTGACAGTTTATTAGTCTGTGAAAGTGATTCTTTACTAACTGAACTGTACACTAGGAAACATTTTTTTGCATTAGGAAACTTTTTTTACTGAGGCTGCTCGAACACTGGAACAGGCTTCCTAGAGAGGTGGTCAATGTCTCAAAGCTGTCACTGTCTAAGAGAGGCATCTGGAAAATGCTCTTGATAATCAAGATGACAGCAACAATTTTGGTCAGCCATGAAATAGTCAGGCAGACAGACTAGATGATTGCTGCAGATCCCTTCCAAATGAAATAAATACTCTATTCTATATGGATAATAAAATGTATTTTCCAACTGTTCCTGCTAAAGTCTAACACCAAAGTTTGACTACACATCTAATCCTAGAAGAGTCTCCCATGGAACTCAGGATGTTGTATGAGAGTAAAATTAGTATTTTCTACCACACTGCAGTTCCATTAATAGTTTCCAGTAGTTTCTTCATCCTACAATGCATTAACTGCTATTTTTCACTGTGTGTTTCTCTTTACAAAGAGAAAACAGTCCTCATTTAGGTGCTCTTGACCATCAAGTCGGTGATTTTTAGGTAAATAGTTTGCATACCATCTACAAACTCAGATTAGACATAAAAGACTCAGATCATGATCTGGGTAGAATGCCAAAACAGTCAGGCTACCAAAGTAGCTATGTCAGCATACTGCTCCCCCCTTCTGTCACCATGGAATCTGCGTCTGAAGTCAGTAGCAGAGATTGCCACCCTCTAGACAATGTAACAGTTTTGTTTTTTTCTCACTGACTTATGTAAGAACTTACTAACAAGTCAAAATATGCAGGTCTGTCTTGTCATTTTACCAACTTAGATTTTTACTACCAATTTTAGTTTATTAGGAGCAAATGGCAAGTTGTACCTCTATGCATGGTTGGCAAACTGCTTCACTCACCTGTACCTCCACTCTGGATCAAGCTTACACCTGTTCTAATCAAAAGTATACTGAATGCTTCAATACTTTTCAGTCTGTTTTCCTACTAGGTTCATCTCAAAACTTTTCATTCTTTACATATCTACACTGACCTTATTCACATAGAATTCTTTAGAAAAACTTAACTCTAGCAATTTCTTATTTAAATAGGAGGGAGAACTGAATGTGTGTGCTAAGGAACACAACTGGAGTTGTAATTCCTAAACAGTATAAAGTAAACATGTTAACATAGGAAAAAATGACTGAGATTAAAAAATCATACTTTGATTGTGAATGCTTGTGTGAACTTCTGAGATGCCATTTCTACTTAACTAGCAAAGGGTTAACCACACTGAACTAAATAGTGGTCATAAAAAAAAGGAGAGATTTCCCTAAACTGTATTTAAAATAGTTCTGGCTGTGCTTAGGACAGAAATGGAGTGATACTACAGCCCGACACTGAAAAGAATTACAGATATGAAGAGTAATTAATTGTAAGTGGCTTAAAAATGCATATGCATAAACAAAATCAAGACTTCAACGCAAGACTTCTTGTTAACGAATAAAGTAAGTCAACATTAAGTGTATCCAGAAATTTTAGTTCTGCTTTACATTAAGTCGTCTTACAGACTGTGGAAGATACATACAGCAGCCACACAAACATGCATTTTATGCAAAATATGTTACACCAAGTTCAAGAGCCTGAAGACAGGTCAGTTAATTCTCTGCTGTAGTTTGGGTATTGATAAAAACTGTCCCTGATTCCTCAAAAGCCTATAGGCAATGCAGAGACTTTTAATCTCATTTTTTCAATATTGTCCTGAAAAAAAACCCAAAAAGCCTCTTGGAAAAAGATGGGAAAAGAAGAACCATTATCCAAAGGAGTCCAGAAAGCTGGGAACTAAGTTATATACACATGAGAAATTTACAGGCAGTATTAAAAAGAACACCACCCGTTAAAACAATAGGTTATGGAAATGACTAGGACCAAGTGTTCAGTGTTTTGAACAGGTCATTCAGCAGTATCTCCCATGCATGTGTAATTAATGTAAGTTAAAGACCAACAGTTCTCAACTGAGCTTGACAGCCACAGTTTGCTAATACTCCTGCAAAATACTTCTAAATAACTTGGGAAACTTATATACCAAACTAGCCAGTTATGGCTGGAATCACTCCAAAAAAACCTGACACATCATAGAATCCAATTTAAGACTAAACCTACTTTGTAGGAGTTTAGCATAAAGGTTGAAAGACTGCTCCATCAACTGCAACACTTCTCAGCTATTACCCTCAGTGGCTATTTAACTGACAAGCAGAACACAGTGTGCTTTTTTCCTGCATATCAAAGAATAGACAAAGGGACACCAAGAAGCTCCGTCCCTTGTATTGCTTAGTGGAATACTAAAGCTAGGATCTGAAGTTACTTTTCTGGAAACATGACTTGAATGACTTTCCAGAGCATATTGCCTTTAAGCAAAATCCAGCTAAATAAAGAAAAATTGGGTTTTTTTTCACTTACTAGGTGCTCCTGAGAACTTAGGTAATTTGATTCACTAAGTTTTAAAGAGTTCACACACACTCTGCACAGCTAGGTTGACAATGAAAGCACAAAGAGTTACCCCCAGTATATCTGACTGCACACTGGAACAACCAACTGTTCTTATTTAAAAAGCTGATCAGCATATACCAAATTGGTTTTGTACTTCCACTTTTTCAGACATTTGTGCACTTTCCCAAAACAAATTGCCATTTTCACCTTGATTTGTCTCCACCAATTGACTTACATGTCAATAGATGTTTTAAGCTAGTTTAAGCTATGCCTCATTACAAAAGAAGGTATGTTAACCCTACTACAGCAATACAGTATTGGTACATTTCAGAATGTGTGTGGTTAGCACTTGCAAGTCACACCACAACTAATCTCGCCCATATCAGTGTAGCAGTAACCAGCTCAAGAAATTCAAATTTAACTTATCCAGGAAAATAAAGATGCTGTGCAAGGATCACAAAACCTGAAAAGCTTATTAGGATTAGACCACATCAAACTATTTCATACCTCTGTGTGAAACAGAGGGAATGTTCCTTAGGCCGGCAGGATTTATGATGTTTTCCTGTCAGCTGCAGCAAACAGAGAAGACCTTCAATGCTTGAGACATTTTTACCCCATCTGAAGTATCTTATAAAATTCTGTGACTTTGAAGCACTTTTCCAGCATGGGCCCCCTGCTGGTGCAGAAACACATCAGGAGTCACAGACACCCTGACCAGCACTGCCCTTGTACCTCAGCAACTCGAGCACCACTGCTCTCCAGAACTCATACAGATGCAGACAGCTCAGAAGTCACTACTGCCAATCCAACTTTGGTTAATAATGAAGACTCATCTAACTGGATCAAACAGCAGTCCATCAGCTTTTTCTTTCCCTGTCCCTAATGCAGTCAGCAAATATTTATATGCAATGAGAAAATAAATTTAACACCTAGTGGACATTTATGAAGTAATCTAACCGTGACAATTTCACCTTATGCATTTAAACACTAGGACCAGGACAACAACAGCTTCTAAGCCAGAGTGTACTTCATCAAAAAAAAAAAAATCCAAGAAAACTTACCAGTTTAACAGCTTCCTGAGCTGCCTCTTTAGTACAAAAAGTGACAAAAGCATATCCTCTGTTTAGACCAGTTAGTGGATCCATCATTAAGCGGAGATCCCATATAGGTCCAGCTTTCTCAAATAATGGAACAAGTTCATCTTCAAACAAGTCTCTCGGAATCTTGCCCACAAATATCTACAACAGACATACAAAGCGCTATTTATAAAAAGTATTTCCTATGAGTAAGTCTACATCTGCATGAACATCTTCTTACCTCTGTACCAACAGAAGGTTGTTGTCCTGAATATACAGACTCTGGAGGAGGTCCACCATACTTCCTCTGTCCAGTAGTCACATCAAGAGTGTAGCCAGTTCTCTCCAACAGTGCCTTCAAGTAAGAAACTTAAAATTTTAAAACCACATACAAACTGAGCAAGTTTAGCTGCACTTCATTCACAGACAGACATGCTTCTAATTCCTTTTAAACTGTACTGCTTTGAAGCTCCCACAAACAAATCTACTACTAGTACTTCAACAAGAAACTTGCAAAACAATTAACAGAACTATTAGGTAAAGAAACACTGCTAGAACATTAGAGATTCACATCCAGTTTTCCCAATTCCTTGATTTTCATTAAAAAAGCCAAGTAATATAATAGTGAGCTTCCCTTTAATTAGGAAGATCTTAGTCTGAGCCACTTCTTGTTTTGGCATGTCCAATCCTGCAGACGTTTGTGCACAAGAGTTCCCCGCACTTAATGAGATTACTCATGAGTGTGAAGTTAAAGAACACATGTTTAAGTGCTTACACCCCTGGAACACTGCAGAGCCTGCTTCAGGTGCCCAACTATCAAAGTGGTAGTACTATTTCCTTTCTCTTATCATCCCCCCCTTCAAATTCCTTGTGGACTTATACAGGATCCCTAGGACAACTAACCCTCACTAGAACCACTGCATGTAGTTATAGATATAGTTAGATATAGTTACAGACATACTAACAACTTAAAATGTTAGCTGGCATTCAGTATGCAAACACATGAGAAACTACTCTGAAATTAAGTCTTTCTAAATAATTTTGTACAAAGACAAATCAACTCTACACACAAAGAAACTGCATATTAAACCAGCCCAATTATAGTAAAGAGCTAGCAATTTTACAACTACAAAATTGCAGTTATTTTAAATGCTATAACCATCAGCAATAGAAGCTATGCTACTTGAAGTTATTAACCAAGTCCTCATAATACTGCTGTTTTATGTGGCACTGACAAAAACTGTACCAGTTTTTAAAAAAATTATAATTAAAAGCATCCCAGCCTCAAAGTCAAGAGAAAAAAAAGATTCTCTAATTTTACAGGGTACACAGTTATTTGTAATGATCATTTTATACTATATACGTGAAGCGTCAAGGAAGAAAGATTCTCAGTGGTTTTTTTATGACATCACCTAAACATGCTTAGATGGTTTTCCTTCCCTTAAGCTTCGGTAAGTTGCTAATCACAGTACTTTAAAATAAATCATTGTATGCCTAACTCTTGAGAAAGTAAGACTTGCTAGCAGCAGACATGGTCAAAAAAATAATTTACCCCTCACTTAGACAGTTTGGAGTACAGTTTATGAGCACAGTGATTATGTCATAAGAAGTGGGCTAAATCCTAAATCCATTACAATCTGTTTTTTCAGACACGTGGTATCTCCTCCCTATTGTGGAATTGCTCTAAATCCGAACTAAGGGGGCGGAGTAGAAACAATAACAAAAAAAACCAGAACACAAAAAACAATCAGCAGTAGCTGAACTTATGCATTTTGAACTTGAGTAACCATGCTGACAACAAGTATGCACAAACTTTTTACTGTGAAATAGAGTAATTGTCTCAATAAGACATAGAGCAAACTGAAATCTTCTTCACTTTTATACACTCAGTTCCAGAAATTAATATATTAACTTTCTACTTGAAAAGGAAGAAGTGGAAGACAAAATTGCAAGTGACAGCTTTCAACAATGACAGATATGAAAAATAACCTGTAATAACCTTTTTAAGAAAAGCACAGCTCCAAAACAACCAATATAACTCTCACAACAACTCAGAAAAACAAATAACAGGTAGACCTCATAACTTTTATTTTTACCAACATACCTTAATTTTTGCCTCATCTGGTCCTTTGCTAGAATCTGCCACCTTGGTCCCCTGTTTTTCCCTCTGCCTGTATGTCTTCATGACTCCACATAAAAAGGCACTTTTGTTCTGCAAAAGATACAATCTTCAGTTCTGAAAACACGACAAGCCAGAAGCTCATTTTACCTTGAACTAGTAATGGCCACTTCACATATCACACATGGATCACTGAAGAGACAGACCTCTTCCCAGACAACTAACAGTTTATCCCTCAACAACTATATTGTAAATTGCTTAACGTTACCTGAACATGTGAGAGATCACTGTCTTTAAACTGCTGAAGCACTGCTAGTGCACCTTCTTCATTGAATTCCTTTAAAGCTTCAATAGCTCTTTCATCTAGATCACTATGTGCAACTAGCCCTAGAAAAAAAGAAAAAAAATTACTAATCATATTTGGTCAGTGATCTTTGTAAAACCTAATGTAGCATCCCTAACACATTTCAGTGACCTCTAAATCAAATACTGATTAAAGTAAGTTACTATGCCTAAAAAATAATTTTGTTCCTTTGAAGTTAAATATTTAAGGGTATAATTCTTTAATGAAAAACAAGGTTCAGAGTAAAAATTACTATATTTATGCGCTCATTTGACTTCTGTGAAACCCAGATATTACACAGGCCAAGTTTAATTTCAATATCCTGAAGCTGAATTCAGAGGCAACTATCAAAACCTACCAAAGCCCGACTTAGCTTGCCTAACAATGGTACCTTGGTACGCTTTTAGAAGACTATAAATACAAATAAACTGCAGCACTAGAAATGACCACCATGATCCAAAAATCAAGCTTAAAACATGCTAGCTATTAGCACACCTGAAAGAACCAATATCATAACTTCTGCATCCATGAGCCCAAACACCATGTCAGGAAATATCACTTACACAAGAAGATGCATACCAATGCTTTAGCTTCTTACAGTTGCCTACAGTTACCACAAAAAAATGCACAAAGAGCACATCACCTGCTCCTCCTAAAAATCATCTGTTGCCTATTCTTGCTGTTGCTCTGGTCCCCAGCATACTGCTTCCCACCCCTCAGTCCAAGTAGCCTGGGAATTCCCTCTGAAAGTTACTACAATAAATTGAAGTACTGTATCTAAAACATCCAAATTTTAGCAAGACTGCAGTTCCCATACTTGGAAACCACAAAAAGTTGCTATTTCAGCCCAAAGACAGGAGAATCCAATAAAATATTGTATGTGTGGTTTTGCAAGTCTTAGATCTTACCTGCAACGTAAATTTCATCTAGTTTTTCAGCAACTTTCTGTGGTAAACCAGCATCAAGCAATGTCTGGAAATGCTCAGAATGGGTAACTGCAGCAGAAGTATCCATGGGCTCTTCAGTACCATTCCCATTAACATGTTCAGTAGCCATGTTTCCAGATATCTGTACAAATGCAATAAGCATCAAAATTAAGCTAAACATATCTTCAGGTAGAGCAACTCAAGTGACAATACATAAAACAGACTACCCTATTCTTTTAAAGTAATGGGAAAAAAAATTAAAAATAGCAGACCACCGCCCTGATAATTTTTTTTTTTAGGTTTTTCTTTAGTTTTGCAAGGCGCAGGAAATTCCTCAAAAGAAGCACTAACACAAAGAAAAGCCCTGACACCACTGCCTAGGGGGGATGGGGCAGCTTTCACTGCAGGTTTTACACAACCCAGACAGACACTGACTCACCTTCCCTCTCTCTAACACACTCCCTAAGACGCTCTGAACAAGTTAGAAATGGAGCAAAAAGGCAACAGCGGGGGTGGCAGGACAAGCAAACCTGCCACATGCACCGCGATACCGTCACTGACACTCGCTGCCGCCTCCACCGCCCGCTGCAAACTCGCTGCCCCTCGGCGCACGCCGCCTCTCCAGGCCCCGGGCGCGGCCGGGATCCCTTCTCGCCTCCACTTCGGTGCCGGCCGGGCAAGCGAGAGGAACAAAGCGCTCTTCCCAGCCCGCACCCACCCACGGCGGCGGCGGCGGCCATGAGCCCGATGGAAACACGTGCTCCGCGCGTTCAGATGTCCTACAACTTCCTCCAGTGACCGACTTCCCCCCCTCCCCGCCACACTCCCGCGGGAGGAGCGGATCCCCCCCGCCCCGAGCCCCGGCCATTCCCTACCTCTCACCCTATTCCCCCCGGAGAGCGGGTTGCAACACCCTGGGCCCGATTTCACCACCCGGCCGGAGCTCTCGGTGCCTCTCGGCCCCACCGCCACCTCCCGGCCACACTCCTGTCCGGAACAATGCAAGGCCCCGTTTCCCAGCCAGGAAACACCGCTGCCCATCGCCCACCGCCTCCCGACGTGACCGGGGCCACGCCAAACCCGGGCGGCTCCGCTCCCCCGCGCACACGCCGGGCACCGAGGCCGCGGTTCGGCCCCTGCCCCTCACGGGCAATGAATGGAGCGGCGGAGCCAGCGGGACAATAAGGCGGGAGCCACGCGCCCCGCGCCGGCCCGGCTCGGGTGGTGCCCCGGCCGCCGCCGCCACGCCGGGGCCGCGCACCGGCCCGGCCGCCCCCCGCCCGCCCGACAGTGGCGGCAACGAAGGCAGCGCCAGCAGCTCCTCCACCCATCGCGCAGCGCCCCGGCCCCACAGCGCTGCGGGGCCCCAGCGTGCGCATCCCGCCCTCCGCCCGCTCTGCCACCCGGCCCGCTTCCACCCCGCCAGCGCCCGGCCGTCCTGACCTGTGTGTGTCTGCGGGGGGGAGAACCGCCGTGTGCGAAGGGTCTCTCGGGGCGCGGGTCGTGGCTCGGCGTGCTGAGGCGCTGCCCCCGTTCCGCGCTCCCGCGGCGGTGTGTCCGGGCAGTGCTGCTGCTGGAGCTGGCGTAAAATGGCGGCCGCTCGAGCGCTCACGCCGCTGCTGCTGCTGCTGCTGGCACCAGCCCCGGCCCCTTCCACTCCGCACGGGGGGGGCGGGCGGAGGGCGGGCGGGAGCGGAGCGGGGGGAGAGGGAAGAGAAGAGGAGGAGGAGGAGGAGGAGGAGGAGGCGCCGCCGCGCGCGCTGGCGCAGCCCCAAAACCCGGGGTCTCCCAGGCAGCTCCGCAAGGGTTATATCGCCGAGCCCCGCCCGCACGCGCGCGCCCGCCCTCCCCTCCGTTCGCCCCACGCGCGCGCTCCCCGCCTTCCATGCGGAGCGGCGCGCGCCGCTGGCTCCCTATGTTTCTGCCTCCCGCGCGAAGCGCTGCCGAGGGGAGGCGGCGGCGGCGGGACGAGCCCCGTGCGCGGACGGAGCGCTCCCCGGCGCCGCCCGCCTGCACCTGTGCGGGCTCGGCGCCGGCGGAGCGGCCGTGGCCGGACCGGGATTGGGCGAGCGGCCGTTCCCACGGCGCGCAGGTGGCACAAAACAGGGGGGAAACGGCGGCGGGGGGGCTGGGGGGGGAAGTCCCGGCCCGCGGCGGGGAGGGGACGGAGGAGACAAAGCCACGCAGACAAAGGGAGGGGAGAGCCACGCTTTGTGTGGCTGCCGGCCAGGCGAGCCCGGCAGCGCTCGGCGTTCCCGCACTGGAGACGGGAGGCGCCTCACCCCTGCCCAGAGGAGCACCCCGAGCTCAGCACCGGCCCCTCGCACTGCCCGCCGGGCCGGAACCGCCGGGCCGGAGACAGCGTTTGGGCGAGGGGAACGGGAGTTTCCCTCAGGCACTGCGCGGAGCGGCGGCGTCAGACGGGGCCCCGTGGCGGGGGTCGGCGGTCGGAAGGCGCTGAAAGCAGCGATGGCTGGGGCGGCGCGCAGCTCCAGCGCCGGAATTCCGCAGCACGGCCCCAGGAACGGGGCCTTGGCCCCGCAGCCACGCTTGGAGCGCACCCGCGGTGATTTAACTTTCTCATGATGGCCCCAGCGGAATGTGGATCTGCCCGCACAGCGCTGTCAGAGGCAGGTTCCTTGCCAGAGCGTACACTTCAGAATCCCAGTTCTGAGCACGTCGTGCTTGCACACCCCACACGAGAAACTTGGAAACCAGCCTACTGATCTCTGGCAGAGTTGTGCGTCCAGATAAAGACGGCAAAAGGGAGGCAGGAAGGCACATAAGAGTATTACTCACTTCCCCAGAGGCGGCTCAGCCACAAGTTGAGCAGCGCCTGCTGCCCTGAGCCTGGCCGAATACTTCCAGCATATCTCCAGTACTTCAAAAACACTTGAACCTGAGCAGTGGAGCAAGCACAGACAATTCCAGTGTTAGTTCAGGTGTCAACAAATGCTCACGTGCTGTATAAGTATGTGAAACATACAACTGGTATTTGGTGATACAAGGAAAAAACATCTTTTCAAGTATTCGATGCAATAAGGCTTCATTAAAAGCTGGAGCACTTCACAGATTTCTCTGAAATAGCAACAAATACAAGGCAGATGTACACTATGAAATAGACCAGCTAGTTTTTAATGCAAAAATTTGATAAAAGGTAATTTTTACTCTGACTTCCCCTCATCTTTAAAAAAAATGAAACTTCCTGAAAAAAAAAAGTTAAAAAAAAAAAAGCTAACTTTTTTAGGGCAAACCTGAGTAGTATTTTTAAACATATCCTTTTTACAAATACATATTCTTTTTTCAGTTTAAAAGTTAATAGCTTTTTTAATAATACAGCTGGGCAGTGAAAGTAATATTCTCAAAAACAAGCCTGGGGAGCATTTTTCCACATATCAAATTTTTCCAGTTTTGGAGGATTTGCACCAAAGCATGTTGTTTTCAGATGTTTACAGAAGGTGTTTCAGTGTTGCATTTATAGTACATATGTGTCCAGAATATTACCTAAATTTCATAAATGCATTTGTTCTCTGGATTAATGAAAACTGTGAAAAATCACAGAATCATTAGGGTTGGAAGGGACCTCTGGAGATTGTCCAGTCCAACTCCCCTGCCTAGAGCAGGTGATACAGGAATACGTCCTGGTGGGTTTGGAATTATCCAAAGAGGGAGATCCACAACCTTTCTGGGAAGCCTGTTCCAGTGCTCTGCCACCCCCAATGTAAAGAAATTCATGTTGAGGTAGAACTTCTTGTATTTCATTATAATTCTCAGCCAGTCAATTTGACTAACTGTAGATGGCAAACTTGAGAAAGTAACTCCTGCTTTCAGACCCATTTTTAGAGGAAAACATTTTTATGCACTTAACTTTTTCCTCCATAAAATGGAAGCAAAAACAATAAAAATACTAGGATTAATGCAGTGAGCAGATTTGCACCCTTACTTAAAATCATAGCTGACCCTGACTTAAAATGACAGAGTTGCAGTTATTTGATCCTTTGAAATTTTACATAGAAAGCAGGAAACACAGAATCTGACACACACATTTGTTCCAAATATAGCTCCATTATTAGCCCTAATATCAAAGCCGAAAGTAACATGCCCAGGAAAACCCTGAGATTAGCTCAGTTGGGTAGAGTGTCATGTTAATGAGACATAAGTCTTGGGCTTAATCCCCGCATGGGCTAGAGTTGGACTCAATGATCCTTATGGGTCCCTTCCAATTCAGAATATTCTGTAATTGTGTGAAAAGATCCATGAAACCAGTGAGGGTTTTTCTTTTTAATTGTGTAAAACATTGATTGAAAAAAATACCTTTGCTAAGAAATTTGCGTCTACTTACCTGGTGACTTTACATGAGGAGCTTCTCTGCACATGCCTGGAAGTTTGGCAGCTTCTCCCCATAATGAAAGTTGTGTTGAATCCTAAATTTTCCTGGTATTTGAAAACCCTATTTTGCTTCTGTTGCATTTATAACCATTGTAGAACCACACTGAAGCCACAGCTGGACTTCAATGCCTCCCAGCACACCTGTGGTAAAACCAGTGATTAACAAAGACAAGACCAACAAAATAGCACAGATAAAGCAGCGAAGAATAAATTTAATTTGACAAATAGGCTAAGAGACTAGTTTTTGCTTTGGAGCTACTTATATATAGCTAAATAATCATATCCTAAAAAACGAACAAAAAATCTAGGAAATTCAGCAGGAATCTTCAGTTTCTATGTTGCTTCACCTTTCCAAAGCGTATACTCATTGGAAATTTAGGCCTGTCTGCACAATTCACTGTACTTGAGCTATGAAGTGCACCAGCTACAGTCCTAGAGGGATGGATCACTCTGGTCATACAGCAAATATCGCTTGTAATAACAAAACAAGCCCCTTGTCCTGTGTCTGCCACAGTAGACTTCTGAAATTAATGAGCCACTCTTTGGATTTCTCAACAGTGTGCTTTTCAAGCCATTCCCTGCCCTTAGCTTGGTTGGTAAGGCTGCCAAGTTATTAATAAATCTCTATATTATAAAGATAATTAATTTCAGGAAAGGATTGCTGTCTGCATTTTATTCAATGTAGTACACAGCTGGCTGATGGCCTATTTGCCCTGTGAGATCCTTGGTAAAATAAAGTTATTTGGGGAAATACCTGTTTAATTAAAAGTTTGTGCAGTTTCTTCATTCTATCAGTCGAATTCTCTGTCTTAAAAGATAGGTTGCATTATAAAATTCAAGGCCTGTGTCTATTAAGAGAAAAATGCAAGTCAGAAATTAATGAAAAGGAGATGAATCACATATATGAAACTTTATTCAGAAAAAATAGTTTTCATATATGACTGTCTCAGTCTTTAATACACAGATTTAAGAGTCCTTCCATTCTATAAAAAGTAGCTTACCATCTAAAATTACCATATGATTTCAGCAAAGAAACTTTACTAACATAACTAACGGTAATATTCTCTTTTAACATTCTTTCCAGTTACATCCCTTGTGCATATTCAAACTTTTGAAATCTAGGCAGGGTAGCACTTCTTAAAATCAAGGTTAATCCCCCTTATATTTAAACTATTTCTAAAGTTCTAACTTTGACCCTGCTAACTCTTCAAACACTCCACTTCTAACTAAATCAGGAAAACAAAAGGAGCAAACAAAGCATTTGTAAATTCAGTATGATTCACAGCACCAGAGGCAATGGGCACATACTGAAACACTGAACATCAGGAAACACTTCTTCACTGTGAGTGACCAGGCACTGGCATCAGTTGCCCAGGGAGGTTATAGAGTCTCCATCCTCCAAGACATTTCAAAACCTGTCTAGGCATGGACCCGAGCGACTAGCTCTAGGTGGCCCTGTTGGAACAGACAGATTCTGTGATACAGTTCTTCACCTTGGATCTTTACAAATCCAGTTCTATCCATGAATTGATGCTTTTTTCTCCCCCCTGCCCCCTTCCAAATCAAAAACCCAAAGTAACTAAATTTTAACTAACTTTTAATTCTAGTTCTGCAAGATAGAAGAAGAGTCTAATCCTACGGACTTGACATGATGCATTTCAAGGCTTTTGAGGTTGAAATCATCTGCATTCTGCTAAATATTTTCCCAGATAGTTGCAGGCAGAGAACAAGCCTGGCGGTGAGGAAGAATGAGGCTCTCCCAGGAATTCTTTTGCTGTTGAATTCTATGTATAGACTAAAGGTATTAAATTCTTCTCTCACTTTTGTTTAATGTTTGTGCTACAGCAACACTGCCAGTGAAAGAAAGGGTACCTAACTGCTCATTTCTGTAAAGTATTTGTGTTTTAAGTCTTTCTTACCAATATCAATCACTGGTTTTGCCTCTTCCTCATCAGCATAATCCCCCAAATACACAGGTACATCCACCCCCAAACAAACACTCCTGAGCTGACTTTCTTATAAAGAGGCACAAGCAGAAGGTAGTTTAGTTCACATTCTGTTAATCTTCAGGTTTTTTCTAACTTAAGTGAGAAGATTTTAACAATTGTTTACCAGCTGAGGGTTCAGAGCAATCACTGTAGAATTCAATGTATTTGCAGTATGCTGTATGCTAATGTACAAGTATTGGAAGAGGACTGGAGGAGGACAGCACTCTATTTTTGCACACTCAGAAGGCAGTGAAGTTGCTTCCACATGTATTGTGGAAATA